TTTGGGTAATAGGTACGAGGCAAAAGTTTACGTAACGTCGAGCTCTGTCGCTCATTCCGCGCTTTTCTTGATTACCGATCTGTACTTACTGCACTTGCAATAATGGCACCTTCATCAACTCTTGTCTCAAGCCCTGCTCGGCGTCACCACCTCTCGCCCGTGATAAAAGGTCCTCTCTTTGGCAACAGCATTCCTGGCAATTCTGCTCGTCACTGTAAGTACTCAAATCATCTATCATACCTGAATAAAATTTTTTTTTTTTTTTTTTTTTCAATGGGAATTTTCTACCCTGGAAGAGAGTCACTCAGGATTCCCCACCAATTTTATTTTTGTTTCTTGTACCGCCCCATCATTATCACTTGTGCTAATTGAAACCAGCAACCCCCACTAAGCGCCCACTCTTCAACGATGAGAACGCAGACCCGAACCTATTCAAAAAACGCGTTAAATCCGTGCTTTCCCCATCAAAGCCCATCTCAAGTGTCGACGAGATCCTGAAACCCTCCTCAATCCCCACGATCACCACCAATCAATCGTCCAAGTCGCGTTTCATCTTGACCGATAAGCCCCTAGTTAACTCCCAACCCAAGCGCGCCCTATCAAACATCACGAATACCCACCAGCGCGTGAGCAAGCCATCCCACAGATCGGCGAAACCGCTCGTGGGTAGCTCGCTGAAAAAGGCATACATCCCCTCCCCCACGCGTCGCACACGCGCCGTATCTCCACAAATCCGGAGCGGCCGTGGACAGCTGAAACGCGCGCGCTCCTCAACTCCTCCGGTTGTGTTCAGAGACATACCCACCTCAAGTTCCAATGACGCACCTGCCGCCCCTTTAATGCCGCAACAACAGCCCATCCCAGATTCGTGGATATTCGATATCTATGAGGACACTGTGGAAGAAACGCTCCAAAACCTAGTGGAGTTCTCCACTCACACACTCGACATCTCTGATAACGAGGAGACGTCCGGCGAGTTGGACCTCGGGAAAGAAAACATCCCTCCATCAAGGCTCGCCGAAATCCTGTCCACACCACGCGAGAACCGAATGTCTGTCGACGCTCCAGTCAAGTGCATCCCGCAGCGACAAACGCCGGCGATCGGGCCGGGAGGGCGAGCACCCCGCGTGCGCAGAGAGCCACTGAGAGAAATGAAGGAGGAGGAGCTAGTTCAACCCGGAAAGAAGACGGCGCAAGACGAAGACATGATTAAGAAAGTGATGAACGGAAAGGAGGAGATGCAAAGCGATAAAATAACGACTACTATCACGATGACGAAACTACCCACGCTATCCAACGACTCATTCATAACCTTCTCCACCCCCAAAAAGATCAAGAGGAAGCCACTGCTCCGCACGACACCCAGTCCTGGCTGGAAGATATGGGAAAGCGATCATGATGATGATGCTAATGATGATAACGAGAACTTACCACCGCTACCACCAGCCACCAAGGGCGATTTGGAGATGCCCCTGCTGGCGGGTACGCGTAGGAAACGGGCTCTGGGGGAATGATGGCCCCCCTAGCAAAGCACACCTCTCTTTCTCTCTTTCTTTTTTATAGCTTGGCGGCCATGTTTATTCGTAATCCTTGTACCCTCTTTTGTGTAGGCATGTACTCGATATTTTTTTCCTTCTTCCCTTCCGGGGTATTCCTGTTTTACGTCGGCAATCATCCTGGGTAAACTTACCTACGTACCCGGCCAAGACGAAATGGGGTTAAAAAAAGTCTCTTCCTATCTATCTTTCTATCTATCTATCTATCTATAGTTCTGTGTCTGCTCGGAGTATCGTTGCTAGCTGGCTGTGTGGGAATGGGGATGGTGGGGGCGCTTTGGCGTGTCTGATAGGTTAGCCTCTTGTTTTCATCATTTCTGTCTGTACTGTACCTGTATGTTTGGTCGGTCTTCTTAGCAAGCGTTTTTTCTTTTTTTTTTCTTTCCACTTTTGTAAGGCATATTATATGTATTTATGGACTTGACGGGGTTACACGATGGGGAATTGGGTTAGCGAGCTGAATATCGATGTCTGTCACGCGAATGCGTGTGTCGAGTCTACCGCAGTCTAGGGCTGACCTGCAAGTTGGTTGGTCGGTCGGTCGGTCGTTGCAAGTAAAGCGCGTGTGTGCGTGTTTAACTTCTTAAATTACGGCGCCAACCAGAAACCAATTCACTCTTCGGGCTGTTCGAAAGATGCACGACAGCTGCTAGTGAATACCGTACCGGTAAAGAACAAAGGCTTGGAAGGAGATAATCCTATAAACTGTGCGGAAAGGGGTGCATAGCACCGTAAGTAAAGCTGACTCAGGTACCGACCGTGTGATATTGCATCGTGCCTCAATCTCTCGCTCAGCTCTTGGCCCCTTGTGGGATGCGAACCGCCTTGATACTCGTAACGAAGACTATGGTAGCTTTAACTTTCGCTTGATCGATTTCCCTGTTTATGTGGTTGCGGCTGCGGCTGGTTGCGCGGGGGGTTCACCCGCTGGTATGGTCTTGTTGAAATGAATCCACCATCTATATCGAGTATCATAGCGTAAGCGTAATCAACTCCGGATGTGCTCCATTCCTTGAACGGTGGAAAATGTCTTCTCTGAATACCGTGTTCCATTTTGTTAGATTCGTTCACTTGTATTCAGAGTCGTTGTTTGTCGTGTTAAATGTCTGGTGTTTCATAAAAAATTTTTTTCGTCGCCGAGCTCGTACATGGTGTATCACTCGCGGAAGGGGTTTTTTTTTTCTCCTATCCGCTCGACGTCGTCACCCAGTCTACCGGCACGCAAGGCACAGCTGGTGTCCTAGAGGTGTCTACACAAGAGGCCTGAGTGTGGCATCTATGAGTAAAAGTTTTGTAATGTCAGTCTTATATTGTGTTTCTAGGGAACGGTTATCCCACTTGAATAGTTGGGGAAGTGATCTGTAATGCTCCTCTCCTGAACACGTACAGTACACCTTGATTTGCGGCATTGTGAAAATGGGATCACTTGGAGGACGGCAGCAGGGGGTTATCCAGGAACTTCTTGGGTGGGGGGAGGGGGGCATGCGCTCTGGCTAAGCGGTGGTATTGCATCACGTGATTCAAGTCAACCCTCGAATTTTTCAGTGCCTGTCAATGATTTACGGGTTAGGTTCCACCCTCTGTCAACGCAGCAGCGCACACTCACCTCTCCATAAAAATGCACCCACCTCCTCTCCCTCCATCACAGCCACCACCTCCACAAAAAACAAACTTCCCGCTTCACCGAAAAAAAAAAAGGTTTAATTTGAACACTTACCCTCACCACGCAACAAAAAAAAAAAAAAATGGGCATCCTCCACACAAAAATGATCTACACCCCCCCACCGCCTAAATGGTCAGCTGTGACGGCCGAACACCCCCTGGTGTCTCCTCCGTTCCCGCCCATTTTCGTCTACCCGCCTCCGGTCACCTGGCAGCAACAGGGGGTCACGCCGCCTTCGGGAGCGCTCGTGGGAATTTTGGCTCTTCGCCATCCCGATGGTAGGATCGTTCCCATGGTCGATGCGCGTACTGGTGAGTATGTGCCTGGAAACGTTAGGGGGTGGATTTGGATTCCGAGTTTTAAGATTTGGGTTTGGCGGTAGGTGTGGGATTGGGCTTGGGTTGGCTTGGGTTAGGATGGATGGGGATGTTTTGGGGATAAAATGTAAAAAAAAGAAAAAGAAAAAAAAACGTTAGAAGTTGTGGGAATGGTATGGGTGGGGATGTGTGATGGTTTGATTTGGGAATTCCGGAAATTTTTGAAGTATGGTTTCCATTGCTCTTGGTTCTGAATTTATGGAAAGGGCATTTCACGACGGGGAACATTTCCAATGCTACCGAATATAAAAGCTTTTTAAATGCTCCGCAAGAGTGGACTTATATCACGTATCTGCAGAACCGCCTATCCGTACAGAAAAACTCGTGCACTTCATAACCTTATGAACTTTCACCCCACCAATTTATCAAGGACTGCGTACTTCCCATCCACTTACTATCAACTCCCCCCATCAATCACATCGAATTACCAAAGGAGAGAGAAATACATACCAAATCACGCTTGAGCCCATAACTCCCGTCCTTCTGCAAGTACATAAGGACACACGACGGCCGTTGCTGCTGCTGTTGCTGAGGGGCTGGCTGCGCAGCGGGGGTAGCAGCAGCAGCAGTGGTGGTGGCTGGCTGTGTGGCAGTGGTGGCCACTGCTGCCGGGGCGACGGGTTCCATGGTGGCGATAATATTGACTGGGATCGCGGCCGGGTGTGAACTGGCGGGGACGTATTGCCCATTGGCATCCAGGATTGGAACTAGAGTTCCATTTGGGAGGGAATAGTAGAGGATGTTTCCCTGAATCGGAGTTGCCATTTTGGGTTCCTTTTTTTTTATAGTAGTTGGCTGGGTCGGGGTGTTTGGTGTTTAGTGCTGTGGTGGGGAGGACGGGAGGTGGACGGACGAGTGTAGGGGCGAGTGAGGGTATGATGGCATAAGATGTTTGGTTGGTGTTTGTTATTTAGGTATGATATCATAGAAATGGGCGAGGGCTCGACAGATCTCTTCATGTCCCATCACTCGCTACTTTCTATAGTTCTGACGAAGACCTCTCACCTCCCCCTGGGCATGGAGATGCTCTTCAATACTATGCAAAGTGAAGTATCATACCGTCACCGCCACAAATACTCTACCAGCTTAAATACGCTCTCTCAACTATTGATATACCCCCCATCATCAATCCCCATACCCAAATATCCCTCTCCAGATCCTCCCCACCCCTCCCCCCTTCCACACGACCCACAGGTGACCTATACAAGCCAACAGCCCCCAACCTCTCCCCCTTCAGATGCCTCATCTAAAGTGCTCATAACTACCAGAATGCCCTTGCCTACTGCTCGTGCAAGTCCGTCAATCACAAATAATTCCGCACAAGTGCCACTCCCTAGAACAGTGGAGCCGAGGAAGGGAGAGGAATCTCTGTCACCGGCCGAGCCTTTGGTACCAAACACCTTGCCGCTGGCTAAGTTGTTATCTTTTCCCGGTGCGTGGACGTTTCTAAGTCAGCTAATCTAAGTGTCCAGTCCGCACGGCATAGAAGAAGTACGACCGGGCAGAACTGCGGGGAAGGGGGGATTTTCAAAGCTAAAACCGGGCCGGGACTGGAATTGTTCGGTTTAGAATGTACTCGCCTGGGGTGGGTATAAACGTGTGTGGATGGTGTGGATTTGTCGAAAGTGAAATTTGTGGCGCTGGGAGAATGTTGCTCCTGTTCTCTTATTCCCAGTGGTTACAAGTGAAACGACAGCTGGTGTTCATGGATATCACCGGAGTACCTGGGCACTGCGGGGCTTGAGCGGTTGCTGAAAATTTGACGTGCCTCACGGGTTGGGATCGCTGCTCCACCCTCGAAACAAATATCATACCTTTTTTTTTTTCTTCTTCTTCACCTCTTTTTCCTCATATATCTCTCCTTGCCCACCACCCCACTTCTGCTTACACATATCTACTGCACTCTATTGTGTCCTACATGAAAATCAGAACATTTAAAAACAAAAAAAAATATTTTAAAAACAAAAAACATTTAAAAACAAGGACATCCGAAAGGGGAATTTTTTTAAAATCTACTGACAGAATTTGATTGGAGGCTGGAGACAATTGAGGGTAAGAAATAAATTACATTACTCTCCTTTAACCTGACTCTTTTAATAATTTATGCCTATATACTTACATGGAAGTGATATAGGTCATCCTTATTACACACTTTCCTTACCCACTAGCCAGAAAAAATCCTGGTATTGCAAGTTATGGGAGTTTGTAAAGATGCTGTTGGAGGAGGGATACAAGGGAGCCTTCCTCTTAGTTTGTGGGGGATGGCACCTTGCCGATGAGTCCATAGATTGGTGGCCTCAAAAGTTGAGATGATTTGTGAATCAAAGTATTCACTTCGGCTACATGATTGGAATTTGTGTTTTGTAGACACTAATGATCTACTTGTACCCCCTGAAGGTAGGAGAGGGACAAGTAATCTGGATCCAGTGTCTCAAAATTCTGGCAATGTTGAGTGTGATGAATGTGGCTTGGCATGGAAAAGGTTTTCACATGACTCATGATTATGAGTCATAGGTATGTTATTGTTTCACGCATATGATTTATTTAGGTCCTATGACTTGTTATGTTATGATGTGTTATGTTTAGCATATGACTTGATTATGAGTCATGGGACGTGCACCTGGTGAGTATGCCTTACAAGTATGCCTTATGGGTATACCTGGTACATATGATTTATGTTTTGCACATAATAGAATTGACATTCTATTGTAGGTG